GACTGTTTTCGAGAATCGTTTCATTAAGTTCTAGTGTTCTGAGAATTTTCATCTTTTTAAGAAAATTATTGTCTTACGCTAAATATATGAATTTATCGTATAATTTCGTAATTCAGTAATTTAGTAGATTAATGTGAGAATTGACAAAATTTAAAGAGTTGTATTACCTTTAATTAAAATATTCATCACCTATTGATAATTAAACCCTTCATTAACGAGTTGTTGAGATTAGCAAATTCATTATTAATGCTTTTACACCAAGAGGACCAACATAATTTGAACTAAGATTTAGTGTATTTTTGATAAGCGGTACTATCATTCCTTAGGCATTAGTTTAAAATAAAGAGCATTTCCCCCTATAGTTTCAAAATCACTATTAAGATCTATTCAAAGCCAAGTTGATTACATGAAAGACTTAAGAAGTCAACGTAATGCTGTTGCAAATTGCATACACTAATGCTTTTCTTCTTTTAGATTCAAATTGATTATTTGAAGAAGTCAAAGTAGTGTTCAGATCTAAGTTTATTTGAAAAATTTAATCAGCATGGTGTTCTTATAAAGTAATTATCCATAATACAGTAATACGTATCATTAGACCAATCGGATTTTTATTTATAGTGATCACCCGTTAGCTGTTAGTCAATAAAAATCAGTGATCAAAATTTTCTCTATCGTATCTCAAAATTTTCTCACCATCTTCAAAATGCGTTTACTAGCGAATTGTTTATTAGAAATCTTTAAATATCATAATGCCGCAAGAACTTATTTTCATGCCTCCTTGTAAACCGTAAATGGTGTAGAACTATTGTGCCCATATTATGGAACGAACCCAACTTTAGCAGTCCCAAGATTGTCAAGACTTTGATTTTGGGTTTGTATGAAGAAGAAAAAGCGTTAATACCTGAGAGTATTATCACTCAAAAATTATTCTAAACCATTATTCAATTATTCAATTTATATTACAACAGTTTCTGGTGATCTAATTGAAGGAATAAAAAAGTGGCTTGGATTTAAAGAAGAGGTGGTTATTTCTTCCATTATGACTTCATTAGTTATGATGTTTCTACGAGCAGGCAGTAAACTTAAAAAATTAGAGCTTAATGGAGATAGTTGTTATCGTAATCAAGAATTAAAGAAAGTATCTTTAGGTGAGCTTAATCAAAAAAACACTTTAATTTCTTTGAATCTTATATTTCATCGTTTTAAAAACACCACATTAACTTCTTTGTGTCTTTATATAATTGGCTCTGCAAAACAGGAGGAAAGGTGTTCGCAAGAGTTCTTATAAAAAACAGAACTTTAACTTCTTTAAATATTTCTCTAACTCTTTCAAACGATGATCTTGACTTTGAAGGAGGAAGAGCATTGGCAAAAGCTCTTTATACGAACACTACGTTGAAATCCTTAAATATTGGTTCCAATAGAGAAAAAAGTTTACCAAATATTCGCCACAATCATATCGTATCTAAATGTTTAAGTTCATTAGCGTGTGCTCTTCACAAAAATAAATCTTTAACTTTTTTGAATGTTTCAAAAAATCAAGTTGTTGCCGAAGGTTTGGGTTCAAATTTTTTTGATTATGATGGAGGAATAGTATTAGCAGATGCTCTTTGCAGAAACTTCAGGTTGACTTCTTTAGATCTTTCATCTAATCGATTTTGTTCTCAAGCATTGTTAGAGGCTTTTGGCACGGACAATTTATTAACTTCATTATACCTTAAAAATAATGAACCTGGTCCTAAGGAGGGACAAATGCTCTTTGCAAAAATTCCGGTTTAATAACTTTAGATATTTCTCATAACATATTTGGTTATAAGGGTGATATGTTAAGTTTTTTTAATCTTTCATCGTGTTGTCTTGATAGTGTATCGGGAAATGTATTTTCAAAGGCTCTTTACAAAAATATCGGAAATAATAAGAATGATTATAAGGGTCGCGGTAGTAATGTAAATGATCTTGGATGTGATGTAAGGGTGCGAAATGCTAGAGTGAAAGAAGATTTCCAGATCAACGAGAATTGAAACAAACCTTAAACGGTATGATTTCGAACGATCATAAAAGAGATCTCAAGAGATTAAGTGATACAAACCGCCGATTGATCAAAATGAATGGCGTTATCGTGGTTATGAGCCAAAAGGTAGATTTGAATTACGTTGTATTGAAGGCTGAAAGATCGAATTCATTAAACGATTATATTTAGATCATATAATCGGATGTGATAGATTGGTTAATGTGGTGTCTGGAAGTGCGAAAGCTTGGACGAATATATGCAAGAGTGCTGTGATACGTAGATAATGAAAATTTAATATGAAACATTCAAAAAAAAACTTTGAGGTTCGAAGTTTGGTACACGTGACACTAGGTGCATTCAATTACAAATTTATGTATACATGTATATCAAAATTTTATGTGAATTTTTTCCATGTAACATTTTATGCAAATCAATTTATTACCGATTGTTATATACTTGAAACTATTCTAATATATATTTCAATAAAATAAAGAAAGTAAAAATATATATTATATAATTTAAAAAAAACAATATACAGTATACTGTAATTGAAAAAAATATAAAAAAACATTATTAATAATAAAAAATGTTAATGTTAATTATTCTGGAAGAAGTTGCCAGAATAGATGTTTTGCATCTGTTTGTTGAAACAGTAGATGTTTTTTAGTTAATGCTTTTTTTTTCTTTTCATATTTCTTTTAAACTATTATTAAAATTTTTCTTATCAATTGTTCATGAAGATAATCGTAATTTTAATTCTTTAAATTCAGATGCCATATTTGAGTTAGTTTTTATATCGAGCTTGTTGAACAACTCTTCAACTTGCTATTAATGTTTTACAATAAAATATGTATTGGTTTTAACAAACTTATAAATTTATAGAAATTCATATAATACCAAATTTTCAATAATACAATAGTTCTCAAATTTACATTGAAAATTCATATTCTTGGTAATTTTTTACACAATCTGAAATTTTTAACTTTAAAATCTTCTTGTAATTGATTCATATAAGTAATTTCTTGTTCTGTTAGAGGTTTTAACCAAATATTTTCTAAAGCCATATAAATAAATAAATGAGTAAAAGGTTGGTTTGAGTACCTTCCAAATTACAAATTGATAGTAGTAAATGATACTATAGCATTATTTATTTTTTATAATATTCAATTGCTTTTTCTAATCCTTGTTCTAAATATTAAACAATCTTTTTAAATTCTTGTTCATTCAATAAATCAAGAGCCTTATTTAACTCATTAGCAAAAAATATATAGTAGTTATTTTTTATTTCAATTAAATAATTTAGCTATTAATTTACTTTATTTGGCATTTCATGTACCTGTATTCCAGATAGCAATTTTTCTAATATATTTCTAGTAAAAATTCATGGAATTAAATCTTATTCAACTACAAATTGTAATAAAGGTTTATAAAAACAAGTTCTAAATCAAACTAATATCTTAATTTGTATATTAATAATTGAATCCAATAACCAAGAATTTGATACTACTTCCAAAGCACAAGTCCTTTTTCTTTGGTGCAAACCTGATAACCAGGTTGGTGAATCCTCTATTGTAGGATCTTGATATTCAGTTTTACCAGTTCATCGGTTCTTAGTCTGGTTTGGTTTTGTAGCACTTTTATAATTCTCAATACTTCTAATTCAGATTTTGCCAAGCCAGTTTCAGATCTTCAAATTCTCTCTATCAGTATTTTGTTTAATTTCAGTTTTTTTGTATAAACTGTATTACCCAGATACTTCTAAAATCTTCTAGTATACCACTAGCACTGGTGTAACCAGAGTTATAGGTATTATAATCTAACTTATTGATAAAGATCTGTTACTATAACACAAGTAGTTTTGTTCAAAATATTGCTAGTGGGATTTGAACTTGGTACCTTGGTTACAAGCTAGCTTGAAGATGCAACAACTCCACCACTTTACTATGTTACCACATTTTTTATCAGCATATTGTGTATTTTTTAGTAGTCATCAGCGAAATATATTAACGTAATTTTACGTAAGTTATTACGGCCCGAAATATTGCGCAATAATTACGGTCT